GTAAAGGTCTGCGTCGCGTTGACGCAGCGGTAAAGGTCTTAAGCCTTACCGCTGCGTCAACGCGACGCATGCGCAGAAAATTTGTAGCTTTGAGGTCCGGATTATAGATCATTCTGGATTATGGGTGTCCGAATTAACGACTTTTGACTGTATAATAAGTATCATCTGAACTATAGGAAAAATGTATAAGTTTTAATGCATAAATAATAGAAGATGCTAGTTTGTTATTCAACAAGTTCTTTTTTTCAGAAAAAGTAAGTCTTAATAACAGAAAGCTCTTTGCATATTTTCATTATCACTGGATGCAATGAACCACGGGATTTGATTCTAAACAGCTGGCTATTCTAGAACTCCAGTATTAACCTCTGTGACATCTTCCTTTTCGGATGTGAGAATTATCAGGTGTTTTTTCCACCTAAGCCCACAAGTAGGGTTCCCACCTCTCCCGGAATATCAAGTTTCTCGAAATGTGCCTGGACAAATGGTTGAGAGCATCGAAAATCACACAACCATGCACAGCAGCCAAAGAATGTCTATGTCAATACATATTCTTTGTAGCAGCGATCCGTGGTGAGCAGTGAGTAGGAAGTGTCTTACGGGATGAGTAGTGGCTTCATGCCGGCATATCGTGCACATGCACCCTCATCTCCTGTCACCCTCTCATTTTCAATCCATTCTTTCATTTAGTCTGCAATTAGCTAGCTATTCACAAACAAGCTTTAAATGCTTTCATAATAACATCTAGTGAAAAAAAAAAATTCTGTTTCTGCAAGTGAACAAGTGTCACAAAAAAGACAAAATATTCGACGTCGTTTCAAGACAAGTGGTTAACTCAATTGATTAGCTTATGAAGAGAGACAACTTTACGAAGAATATAAAGTATGCCGGAAAATGGCTAATATTAAGTATGAGGATGTTAGAGCTTTAACTGTTAAGTCCCAAACCAAAAAAAAAAAAAAAAAAAAAAAACCAGTCATTAATATTGAATAGGGATTCATCGCAATCAGTTTCGAACTTTTTCGTGAAGAAATTTTCAGAACAGGACAATATATCAGCAATTGAAATTACTTCAGTCTATCATAGGATTAATCACTATTACACTTTTAATAGCCAGGATTGCACAAATTGTATACCACTCTATTTCCAGATTCTTCTTTGGCCCAAAACGATTTCTTGTGGCAGAACAAAATGTACAAGTATTTGCGAGAGTGTGCTTGCTTCTGCAGTTCAAAATACACTTTTAAACGAGATTAAGAAGGCTGAGTGTTTTTCAGTTGCGACTGAAAAAAAAACTTTTTTTTTTATTCTCCCGGAAACTTTTTCCCCCTCTACCGGATTTTGACAGCAAAGAAGTGGCAACGCTACCCACAAGCTTAGATAAATTTTAAAATAATTTTTGTCATGTTAATTATCATTGACATGTTGGGTTGTGTTTAGCACAAGTTTTGTTATTGTTATGAAATTACACATGTAACTAAAAGGAAATTATATTCAATATTGGTAAATAAAATGGTACTATTCGGTTTTGAGGGCCGTAAAAAATCGCCAAACTATTGTTGATGCCAGTGCTGCGAAAAATAATTGCGGCAACCCTAATGCAAGAAAGGAAGTATAATAGTAAATAACTATCTAAGATTGATTTTTTAATTTAGATGAAAGGTTAATTTCATATAATACTTTTTTATTATTATAATTTATATAAAAATTGCTAAACGTAACTGAATGGATGCCTGCATCGCTATTTCGCTACCAAGTTATCGCTAAAAAGCATAATTTCATCTCGTTGGTTGTTCAAACATAAATTTCTATAATGAATGATGCCTTTTCTTTGAAAAAATTCTCGGTAAAGTGCAGAATCGCCCATTTATTTTTTTTTTGCCGCTTTTTACAAGAGTAAAAACAATTGGATTTTTATCAATTTTCTTTTACTTTTTAAGTGAAGATATGTCGATGTGTATATAGGTTAAGTCAAGGGTGTGCGCAGTGCCATTTTTGTGAAATTCAGGGATTTTTTTTTAAGTGAAAATAGGTCGATGTGTACATGGAATTCAGAGTATGTGCAATTCTTAAAAACGCATCAAGCAGTGGGTGATTCCGCACTTTACCCAAAATTATATTGCAGACTTTTCGTCATGGGCAATTCCCAAATTGTTACATCATAGGATATCAAAAAAGGATTTAAATTAAAAAAAGATTTAAAAATTAATCTAGTATTTCAGTGGCATCTTAAGAAATATAGAACTATATAAACTTACGCAATCTGAAATCAGCACATACACTAGATTTGGTGCACTGTTAAATGGGCGCGTTTCCTAGATTTGGCGCTTTTGTGCATACATTTTCGCTGCAATTTGTTTACGATTCTCAAAACAGAATAGTACCAATAAAATTTAAACATTTACTTTTTTTTTGTGTGTGTGTAATTCTCTGTGTGATGTTAAAAATTTAGAAACTTTGAGATTTCAAATTCATTTAAAATTCTTTTAAGTGATGAAACTTTTAACTAGGTATATCTTTTCTTTCAGTTATGGAATCAACTATCAAGACTGCAGAGATTCATCATATTTATGCTACTTTTCTTTGTGATATTGTGTATTATTGTGCTGCTGCCATGGACTGATGGTTCCTTTAAAACTGATTTCCAGACAGACTATAAAAAAGCTCAATTTATAGATAAAAACAAAATTTTTATTGGACTTGAGTTCACTGAAGAAGCAAACCATGAACGAACTTCATTTAGGAAAAATGTTAATGAAAATATTCCTAGGCTGAAGGTTATCTTTTTCATTATCTTCTGAATTTTTATAAAAAATATTTTTGGAATTGAAAGAGTGTATTTTTTATAGCTTTTAAATGTGTTTTTGTATTTGTCCATATATTGCGTGCAAATTTATATTAATTTACTATTGATATTTATCCCTTCCAAAATTCATTTACTTCCAGTTTTTCAGCAGGGTGAACATATAACCTCAGTAGCGTATCTAGGGAGACATCTGTCCCCTGGCACAGCATCCAGGGGGTGCCAAATTGAAGCTACAAAATTTTAGAATGAAATATTCTCCATTCTTGGCATATAGAAGGGGCCACAAAATCTTCAGTTTTCTCTAGGTGCTGAAAACCCTAGCTATGACTCTGTATAACTTTGTTGTGCCACCTAAACAGTTAAAATGAAAATTTAAAAAATTATTTGTGTAAAGAGTGTTTGGACTACTTTTGTCACTTGAAAAGTTAATTTTATCATTGAATTATCTGTTTTTATGAGACTAGAACATTTAACATTACCTGTTTCAGTATCGCTTAACAAGTCTAATGTTCCCTTTAAAAAAATATGCAAGAGAATAAATCAGGAATGTTTTTATGTTAAAGAATATGTATTTTGGGTTACTTATTACTCTGTGTTTGTGTATTTTTGGTTATTTGTATGTGTCTGTGTGTTCAGACAGCAGCAAATTTTTTCTGGTTAACATGATAGATTTAACTTTGTTTTAGCTTTCTGATTTTGTTTCAGTGAAAATAGATCAATGTGTACATGGAGAAAGTGAAATTAGTGCGCAATGCCTAGTTTGTGCAATTCTCTGATTTTTTTTAAAGTAGGGTGATGTGTACATGGATAAAGTTAAATTAGTGAGCAATTTTAAGTTTGGGCAATTCTGTGATTTTTTTTTAAAGTTAAAATAGGTCGATGTGTACATGGATACCGAGCTTGTGTAAGTGTTTGATTTCTTAATTTGATTTTCTGTAGGGGGTGGTAGAATCGGCACCATCTTGAAAATTGGTACCGATGTTGCCATCAGAAAGGATCGGCACCATCTTGAAATTGGTGCTGATCCTTCGAGGCGATAATTTTGGGTGTAAAAAAGTCAATGATTCGCCAAGCTAAACCGAAAAGATTAACCAAGAAATTAAATAATGAAGAATGTGTATAAATATATGCATATTTCTTGCATTGTCATAAAACAACGGTACCTAGTGCCATCAAATTCTAAATAACATAATCCTCCACCGAATATGGGCGTCTGGAAGCATTGATTTGGAACTTGTTTTATTAATGATTTCATATTTTGTAACACTTTAATGAATTTCTTATCAACAAACTCAATGATTTCAAAGCAAGCAATGACAACACTGCACACAGAAAAAGACATTTTTATCTATATTGAGAGTTCTAAAGATATGCTCATTTTAAAATTATTTTACATTATTGCTGTTGAATTTAATTTTTGTGATTTAAGTGCGAAGAACGTGATATTTAATAAATAAAGGTAACACATAAAACGTTAAAAAAAGTCCTTTTGAGTGTAATGTAAAACCTGAAAGCTTTCAGTTTTTAGTTCAAAGGGGCAATTTGCCCTAAAGGACTATTCATTTCATTTTGGCATCTTGCGTCAATTCACGATGAGCATTGTTTCACTTTTCAAATTGTAGGAACCAAATATTATTGCTCTGCATTATATTTAAAGAAATTAAATAATGAAGAATCTGCATGAATGTATGTTTCTCTCATTGTAATAAACAGTGGTACCAAGAGCCATCAAAAGTTGAGTAACCTAATCTTCCATAGAATATGGGCATGTGGAAGCCCTAATATGAATTTCAAATTTGTTTTATTATCAATTTCATATTTTGCAACACTTCAATGAATTTTTGATTAACAAACTAAACAATTTCAAAGCGAGCAATGACAACACTGTATTAAAAAAAAAAAAAAAAGAATTAGCGTATTTGACGGCATATAAGACACACTTTTTTCCTAAATTTGGTCTCAAAAAAGTTACCTGCGTCTTATACGTGAAGGTAATTGCATTCAATAATTGTTTATTTGGCTTTTATGAAACATGAGAACTAACAGAAACCACGCTATTGAAACTTTTTTCCCTTGTGTGTGGCCGTCTAAATAAGGGTGCGTCTTATATGCCGTCAAATACGGTATCTCCAGCATGTGAGACTCTGTATCAGAAATTTTAAAGATATGCTCATTTTAAAATTATTTTGCAATATTGCTATTGAACTGAATTTTATGGTTTGAGAGCATAGAACATAATATTTAATAAATAAAATTAACATACAAAACGTTAAAAAAAGCCCCTTTGGATGTAACTTAAAATCTGAAAACTTTGTGATTAATTTTTTTTTTCTTTTGCAACCAAGAGGCTGTGCTAAATGCAAAATCATGCAAAAATCAAACAAGTTCTGGACATGACTAGTTTTTGCTACAAAAATTTTGGTCAGCTAAGTCCTTTGAGCATTTTAAAACATCAATATACATCAATATATTAAAACATCAATATACTTTGGACTTGTCTGATTTTTGCTCTAGTCCAGGGGTCGACAACCTGCGGCTTGTGAGCCACATGCAACTCTTTGGATGTGAAGCTGCAGCTCTTTAGTTCCATACGCAAATAGTATTTATTTTTTAAAAAGAAAAACATTTAAAAATCGTTCTGAATCGATTAACGAGGATTAGGCACTGATTCTGAAATTTTGTAAATTGTAATTTTTGACTTTTCCGACTCAAAAGGTTACCGACTCCTGCTCTAGTCGATCAGTGATGTTTTAAATTAAAAACCCAGTGAAGAAACATAATTTGATCCAAAAGTAGAATTGCCCGATTTTTACACCAAGATCTTCAATTACTGACAAATTTTATTTAGGCAAAAGATTTACAATTTCTAAGTTGTGATTAAAATTCTCACAAATTTGAAGGTAAATTTTATTTGAAATTGTGTCTGAGGAGTTACAATTTATGAAATTAAGCTTTTCAGGGGTTTCTAAACTGCTAAATTAGGAACACAGAGTGAAAAGATTGGCTAACACTTTAACATTTTTTTATGATCTACAACAGGGAAGGTAATGAATTTGAGGGATTGAATCAAAATAATAGTGGCACAACTTCAGTAATTAAAGTGAAAGTAAAACAAGATACTTTCAAAGTGCAAGATCATGACAACAGTGTTTTCAGAGCAGGCAGGGTGTTTTGTTAGTAGACTTTCTTTCATAGGGAATGAAAGTTATCTTACTACCACGAGACCCTAAGCAAACTTGAGCAATTCAGAACAGAAGGCATGGAATACTGTGAGCCAGTATTGTACTGCTTCATGAGGTTGCAAGCCTACAAATTGTAGCTCAATTCAAGATCTGATTCTCTTTAGCTTCATGGTATTCAGTCATCTGCCATACAGTCTGGACCTTGTGCCTAGTAACTATCACTGCTTCTGCCATCTGGTGACAAGCATTTAGATGCTAATGAAGAAGTGAAAATGACCTTGAGTAACTGGCTATCAGCACAGACAGCAGAGTTCTGTGAAAAGGTTGCCAAAAAGTAAATGTTTAAACTGTTGAAGAACTTATGTAGAAAAATAGAGAATTGTATGTAAATTCAGAAAATGTTTTCTTTTGAAAAATCTTTCTCTTTTTACATTTATTATAGACCATGCCTTACTTGAAAAATAAACCTTTTTAAAAATGACATGAAGCAACACTTAATTTATCCAAGCTTATGGGGCCAGAAATGTGCTGTTCAAAAATGTGTACAGTAGAGTCTGAAAACTCGGGCTAATGTGGACTGAAGGGCGGCCAAGTTTGTGAAAATACCGGGTTATTGGGAAAGGTTTAAAAATGTACGAGTGTTTCCTCAGATAATATAGTACTTGTATGTATTGGTTGTTTGAGACTACAACAGTTTACAAAGAATTCAGTCTTGTAACTCAAACTACCCAAATACCCTTAAACAAAGGAAAAGTATGTACTTTCCTTTTAATAGTAAGTAAGTAAGTAATTTATATCTTTCTATCTTTAAGTATTTATATTTTAATCTTTATAATTTATATCTATAGTAAGTAATTTATATCTTTCTGCAATTGAAGGTATTTAAACCAGTTTTACCCTTACTGGGAAATGAAATGACTGATTAACAATAACCAGCTATATATGTAGTTACCACAATGCCCTTACATGAGCATAAATACAGCGCAGCACTACACAGTTTGCATAGCCATTTCTATTCCTAATTCTGTGGCACCTCAATGTATTTGCTTTTGACTTTAAGCCATGCCATAATTTTTCACCATAAAAGTTTGAATTAAAAGTGCTACTTAAATTTAGACTATTATAAAAGTAAAGTATATGTGTTAGAATTATAATGATTTTTTTATTTAAATGTTAAATAGCTGTAAACTTCAGTTAGTTGGAAAATTTTCATTTCTTTAGGAGTTCTCGATTGGAATTTTTTTTTTTTTTTTTTGAAAGGAGTAATAATTTTCCTTTTTAATTTCAGATGGAAAAAGTAAGTTTTGATGGTGGTAACAATGTATTTATGGAAAAGATTATAGCAGCTGCTAACAAACAGAAAGGTAACTGTTTATATTTATTGTTAACCATGGTTATATACGTGAGTTTTTGTAACCTCAGTGAATTTCAGGGTTGATCTTTACATTATGGTAACTTGGCGATTTTTTGGCGAAAATTTGGCAACCAACTCTCCTACAGCAACCCTCTATTTTTTTTCCCCGCCGCCATTTTGTCTTCACGAAGTAAAGACATGTTTCTTTTCTTTTTATCTACTGAACACTTCTTCCAACAATCTAGTAGCCGAATTACACTTATGCTAGAAATTTTATCAAGCAAAACGCTTAATCATGACAAATATTCACTGCAAAATTGGGAAAAAGGCCAATACCATACTCCTTAGTGTTTCAAAAATAACACATACACATAAACCATGTACACACCAACTTTTTTTTACTTAAAAAAACATCCCAGAATTGCACAAAAATGGCATTGCGCACACTCTTCACTATATCCATGTACACTGCTTTTTCTCATAATTAGAAAAATTTCATGAAAATAATGACAATTTTCTCAATCTTTAAACCGGTAAAAATAACATATATGAAATTACCTGATCGCGAAAAAGTATTTACCCTTTACAAATATGAAACATTCCACATATAAAATAAAGAAAATACCAAAAACTTTTAACTCTAAATCATCTGTTATATATAAACGTCACCAACGAATTATTACCGCAACCATTACAAATGCTTAGTGTCAGATATTAAATTATTTCCATGCACGTTTACTTCAACTAAAACGTATACCAAATTCCTACAAACATAAATTCACAAAATAACTATCATTTCATTAAAATATAATTAAATTCAAAAACACTACTTAAAATATAAATGAGCACATACATTAAATTAATAAAAATTACCTTACAATCCTAATTACTTTAAAACTAAATAATTGCTAATAACAATTTTCCCAATAATACCAAATTCCTTTCCACCTTACATTAGGACAATGCATAAAAATAATATCCTCAAATAATTAAAAATACTAACTACCTAATCTTCTTCAGATCTTGATTACGTCGCGATACACTTTTCTAATTCATTCAATAAAATTATTGAAAGATTTTTTCTGCGAATTTTTCCTCCATACTTCCTGCGCTAAATAAAAAGCAAACTTCTCTTTATCACAATGCCTAAATACCCATTTCGAATTCAATTTAGTTAGGGCCATGGGATCCAAAAATTAAACAACACTGTTTCACAGAACACAGAATAAAGCCAAATACAAAATTTCCACATTTTTTCCCGATTTCCCCCCTTTTCCGATTAAAGAACCGTAATTCGTCCATTAATATCACATGACATATCCCATGATCTCTCATTTCTCTTACGCAAAATAATGCGTAATCGGAACTGAGTACTGCTCACATTATTACCAAAGTCCCAGGTAGTAACCTTTATTGCCTCCAAAATGTCGCCAAACTACCAGTTACCATATTGTAAAGATCAACCAATTTCAGGTGTTCAGATATGTTCTGATTACATATTTGATTTTGGGAGATTATTTGACATACTAGTTTAAAAATCAAAGCAAATTAATGGATTAACTGATTTACTGTTTATGTTAAAAATTTGATTAAAGTTATAGCTTTTGTGAATGACTTCCTCCATTCACCAGCTGATATCTGAATGTTGTGTCATTTTTATTAGAGCTTTGGTTTCTGTTTGTATTCATGTTGGACATTTGAGAGTAGCGGTCTATACATATGGGATATTTTAAGGAAGTTCACTGGCTTCTGATTTTAAGGCTAATCTAGCTTTGTCCCATTCTGTTGTAAAATTTGGTTGGTCTCTTTTGCATAGTTAATTTCTGGATTGAATAAGAAGTCAATGAATTGCACAAACTGGATGCCCATGTACACATCTATCTATTTTCGCTTAAAAAAATCAAAGAATTGCCCAAACTCTGCATTGCACACTGGCTTCACTTTGTCCATGTACACATTGATCTATTTTCACATTAAAAAATCAAGAAGCTAAAACTAAGTTAAAACTATCATTTTAACCAAAACTAGGGTTTCATCACTAAAATGGAACAAAATTTGTCGCCAGTTGAAGGGGCACCCATTTTTACACTAGAGCCACTTAAACTAAAATAACAATAATAAATTCCAAACAATTTCAACACAAATAAATTAAGAAATTAAAAAAAAAAATAACAACATAAAATTAAAGCAATACAACAATTAAAATAACTCTGTACAAAATTAAAACAATAAAAAAACAAATTCACTTACCATTCAAAATAGTTCTCAAAAAAGCAAAATATTAATTTCAAACAAAAACTTGTAAGGATAAACATATCACATATATAATCCAATGTACTTCCATTAATAAAACTACACCAATCACACAAAGCATGTGAACTAAAATTCCACGATTTTGCTGTATCAGAAGTCTTTCTAAGATTCAAAATTTTAAATGTTGCAATAAAAATTCCCTCTAAAGTCAAGTTACTGCAGGAAAACCAGGATCTAAGTCTCAAACTTTGTTCAGAACTACATTCTTTACCCTCAACAATGTTTCTGCAAATCCACACAAATCCATCAGAAACACATTTTTTCTTCCGAATCTTCATAACAGAGCTGCACTTCTCACATGTCAGGTTCAGCTTCAAAAATCCTGTATCCCATAAAAGCTGCAAAAGTACATTTCTGTCAGCATGAAGGCAACCATAAACAAATGATTTATTAATAACTACAACAGCATATCTTCTCGAACTAAATCTACCTCGAATACACTCTAAAACACATGGCTGGTATCTCTCCACAACTTCCTTCATGAAACTGTACATCATTATTCAACACGTAACCAAACAAACACGACAACGAAATAAAAACCACATTCCCCACAAAAGTTTGCTCATAAAAAGGCTTGCCATACAAACAAAATCTCAACTAAACACATTTGGCAACCACATATATCCTGGGCCGTATATGACATCTTAGCCGACTATAATATTGTTTTACTATGATGTTGAGAATATTTGAGGGTAAAGCATAATGTTGTGTTTTACACAAAGTGTGAAGTTGTTGATAAATTATGTTGAATCTCATAACTATACAAGTGATGTTTATTATGTGGTAAATATTTATATAATGAATTAATGAAATAAGGAAAAGAAACACTTTTCTTCTTGGAGGTGAGGTGCATCATTGTCTTCCATAGAGTAATCTAAAAAGAGATTGCACGCAAATGGTAAATGAAATGAATTTATTTAATATGTTAACAAACGTTTAACATATAACATGAATAATTAGATATTTCAAAATACAGTTTTCAATAGAAAGACATTATGCAAGAGTTAGTTTTACTCTGTCTTTTCATGTTGGTGTGAAGGAGTGAAATTTGTGTCATACAGTTCTTTTATTAGAGCACACATAAATACGATGTTTATTGCCGTATTTGTGATTAATGATGTCCATCCCTGTATATCAACACCACTACTTGATGGGCAGAGTCACCATCTACTGCTGTCCTCGAACACAAGTTTTCCTAGTGATTTGGTGAGTAGGTCTGCTATCATGTCTTAGACTCTGCAATAGTCTAAGCTTAGGATACCATTTCTTTGAAGTTCAAATAAGTAGTTGTATTTGATGTCTGCATCATGTATGGAACTATTTTTTCTCTGATTGTGAAAGTCTGATTCAGGATTTATCTTTATAGAGAGTAATTGGGGTTTTCTTGTTAGTCTTAAGCCTTTAAATAAATTTAACAGGTATTGTGCTGCTTGAGCTGTATTAGCTATTGCAGTATACTCTGCTTCAGTTGAAGATAATGCTATGCAGTTTTACCTTCTGCTGCTCTATGATATGCAGTTATTTCCCAGTTTGCATATGTATCTGCTAATGCATTTTTTGGTTGTTAGTTATTTCCTTAACCTGCATCTGAATATACAGATAGTATAGGTTCTTGAATTTTGTTAAAGACCAACTTAAATCTTTAGTTGTGTTCAGGTATTGAATGACTTTCTTGACAGCATTCCAGTCTGTTTTCATTTCTTTTACTCAGTAGATTGACAGTACATGCTATATTGGGTCAACTGATTTCTTCAATGTATAGTAATGTCCCTACTACTTGCCTATATTCCTATCCTTGCCTTATCTTCTATAAAATTATCTTTATTTTCCAGGTTGCAGTAATTTGTTTCCATTGGATTATATGTTGGCTTTTCATTTTGAAGAGTCTGAATCTTTGAACTATTTCTTTGATTTTATTCTTTTCATTTATAGAAAAGTTTCCTTCTTTAGATCTTTCTGTATTTATGCCCAGGTAGTGACTTCTTTCATTTTCGACTTTTCTTGTAGTTGCTTCTCTTGCAGTTTGTGTTGGGACCATACATTCTATAACGAATATTGCTCATATAGCTGCATTCTGTGACCTGTAAAGTTTTGCCCCCTTTTTCAGATTCACCCTTCATATGTAAATTTTCCATTGTGGTTTTTGAACCTTTTTTTGCACAACACAAACCAGTCCATATATTTTAGCCATGTTTTGTTTTTAAAGACCCTTATTTTTCAAAGAAATCTTCCAGTTGAATCTGATACAGATCCCGGTATGTGTGCAAAACATGCTGTATTGGGTTGTGCTTTTTTAAAGGTGGTGTCACTTTCTTTGAAAAGTACCACCATGAAAAAATAGACAAAAATGTAAATAATGTAAATATCGTATACTAAAGTTACTTTTTTTCCCATCCATATGCATGTAATCATCATATAACCAAGAAGAGCTTCTTTAGGCTGCTATCACACGGCAGTCTGTTTCGGAAGAACAACCGTTTAGAACAATTTTTCTGCTTTGTCACAACAGCCTATCACGATAGATTGCTTTGAGGTTAACAGAGGGAAAACTGGTTCCCAATTACAAACAAGCTGAATGCATTCGAAGCTGATAGCTGATCGGTTGAAAACAAACAACTTGCAATTTTTTTGGAAAGGAAGGAAAAAGTTGCACGTCTTTCTTTCAATAGTAAACCGATGAAAAATATTGTCCGAAACAGTTGTTCGAGTGAAACAAATGCCGTGTGATATGGGCCTTAGGGGATGTAGAGTGGCAGGCCTCCCCATGGCTCACCCTGGGTAATGCTAAATCTGCTATGGTATTCAAAATCTAGTATTTTTTAATCGTAGGCAAAATCTCTCGTTTTTTTTACATGCTTCCCAGCAATTCTCGTGTCAGCACTCTTTTTGAAGCTCGTGCTGAATCTATTCATTCAGTGTGCTGCTTCGGGCACACCCACAGTATTAAAACGATAAGTGCTATCTTCACAAACTTATACCTGTATACTCTTCTAGGCCTGATTAGACTGCCTACTTTTTTTTTTTTTTTCTGAAATTCCGAATTTAAAAGGTAGCATGCCGAAAAGGGTTAATCCATATATTAACCCTTTTCGGCACACTACCTTTTACGTTCTTCAGCTTGCAAACTTTATTTTCATTTTTAGCTTTTATGTGACATTCAGGTTTAGTCATCTAAGTTTCTTCTAATTATCCATGAAGGAAAGTTGACATTGATATGTCTGACGGACACATCAATCTCAAAATTTTTATATGAAGCTGCACATAGGAAAACTCACAGAGTTGTGTATTTTACAGGAGCAAAGGTTTCAACACAGTCTGATCCAAAGTTCTGGCTAAATCCTTTTGCAATTAGTCTGGCATTTTTCCTTCTGACTTCAGCTTCATTTTGAAACTCTTTTGCAGCCTACTGATTTTCTTCCGCTTGGTAAGTCAACTTATTCCCAGGTGCTGTTTCCTTCTAATGAATTAATTTCTTCTTGAACAGCTTTCAGTCATTTTCTTTTTTCGTTTTCATCCAAAGTTTGAACTTCTCTCCAGGTTTTAGGTTTGGGACCGACTGAACATTTTGCATGATATCCATAGTGTTCAAGACATTTGCCTTTTGTGGTCCTGTTTGATCTCCCGAGTTCTGGAGATTCTTCATTGTATTCAGATATTTCTTCTTTCTCAGCAGCTTAATTTTTTTTAAGCTCTCTTTCATGGGATTTTCTTTATCTTGGTTGGGAGAGATGCTTACAGGCTTCCTAGTTACAGGGTCTTCAATAAATCGGTCATATTGACTTATTATGATTTTCCAGGAACTAAAATTCTATAGCCTTTACTTCTGCTGTCATAGCCAACAAGTATTCTTTCCATAGTTGTGTAATCCAAATTACCTGTTTTTGATTTATTGATGTAACTAAAATTTGGTGCGAAATGTTCTCAGATAAAAGAAGTTGCACTTTTTGTTGTTTCATAATTCATATGTTTTTGCATTGAGTTTTGTGGGTATCTAATTTTGTGAATAATTTGCAGTCAACAGTGCTTCTGCCCAGTATTTGTGAGATTGATCTGAATCAGCTAAACAACATCTTATTGTTCTTATCAGAGATCTATTTTTGCATTTGCTAACTCCCATTTTATGCTGGACAATAATAACAGAGTTAGTTAGGGATTTAATATCATGTTTTGTGAGATATTCTTCAAGTTCTTTACTGGTGTAGTCTCCACCATTATCCTTCTTAGTGTATTGACTTCCAGATTTATTATTTGTAAAGAGCAGTAAATTGTTTTAGTTTTGAAATTTTGAATGCCTTCTTTTTCTTTTCATAGGGTAAATCATTGTAAACATATTGTAAACATCAACAAAAGTTATAAAGTATTGGTAGCCATTGATGGACAGTGTTTGCTTTAGTCTTAAAACATCAGTGTGAATGAATTTAAGTGATTCGGATGCTCTAAGTTTCAGTTCTTAGGAATATGGAAACTCAGTTTACTTTATATCAACTGAATGCATGTGTTATCATATTTATAATTATTTAATGTGATTACTTTGACAAGTTCTTTGTTTACTAGTTGCTTAATCACATATGACCGAGGCACCAATGCCAAAGTTTAATACAATTTTCATTTTTGCATTGAAATGAGCACATGAATCAGTGGTTCATCATTCCTTTCGACCACCAGTGGCCAAGCCGTAAAATCACTGAATACTAGTAGTTCCGACGTAGGTTCGAATCCAGGTGAATGGGCTTGATACATGGGGCGTTTTCCTGGTTTTACCCAATTGTACAAGCCAGTTTCTATTAGAAAGTCCTCCATGAAAGCATCCCTCACCTTAGGCAGCTAGCCGTAGTGTGCTTTGCCTTTAATAAACTAAACCAAATTATCATTCCTTTCAGTTGGTTTAATTTGGTAAGGATTTTTAGTTGCGTGACATTTTAGAATGATTTTCATTATTTCATTTTTGCCTTTTCTCCTGTCGTGTTTTAGACACTTATTTCCTTTGAACAGAAATGAAAGTCCATTTTCTGTTATGTTCTTAGTTGAGGTTAAATTTATTTCTATTTACAGAACATATAAAACTTATGATAAATTTACAGTTATGGTATTAGAAGAATTTATGGATTTAAATTTTGTGGAATATTTGTTATTCACTAAATCATCACTCTTCCCATTGTCAAAAACAAAACATTCTGACAATTGAAATTTGATGTTGTTAGCAGACAGAGTGGCAACAGGGCTATTAGTGCAGTTCACTCTTTTATTTTGATTTTAGATGAAAACATTCTGATTTGAAATGATTATTATTGTGACAGTATGAGTAAATTTTTTCTCTCTTATTTTGAAATAAGGCTTTAAATGCATTTGATTCTGATGAATTATTTTAAACTCTTATTGAATTCATCGATTAATTTCCCTATAGGAATTCTGGCTTTAGTTCCATTTCTCATCACTTTGAGTGCAGTTATTAGAGTGTCATATGAATTGAGCCTTGAAAAAAGCACAAGTGTTGAAATATGATTATCTTTTATATACATACATATTGCTTAAAGCTTATCGACTAACTAGTAGTATAAGAGTTTACATACTGCCATTTTATTCCAGCTTCAAACTGTAAAGCTTTCTTAAGAGAAAGGATTTACTTCAAAGATTAGACTTTTTGTGTACCTGCCAAAGTTTTTGCCTAGCTGGCTTTAGATGTAATTTCACATTTAATATGAATTACCTGGCTCTTCCTGATAAATAAATTTATTGTGCAAAATTGCTGATTGTATTTACTCCACTGTTCTGTAATAGGGCTTTGTGGTACACATCTTCAGTTACATCATAAAGATTCTCCTTTATTAGAAGTATTTGTATTTTGAATTTCCCCATGCTGAACTGGAACTCAGTTTTACTATTTGCATTTGATTTGAATGCAACATCTTTTTTATCACTGTAGATTTAATTTCTATTTATATAGTCTAGCTATAAGTTTTTGTTTTAGAGGCAATGATTTTCCATCATTCTTATATATTTATACAACAAATTAAGGAAGTAAGGAAAAGACACTTTTTTTTTTTTTTTTTTTTTTTTTTTTTTTTAAACCTTCTCTTCTCTGTATAAGTACATGGTCATAGTCTTCCATTGAGTAATCCAAAAAGAGTTTGCACACAAAATGGTAAATGGAAAACATGTTTTTAATACATTAACACATGTTTAAGAGTCATTATACAGTTAGTTTTACACTGTCCTTTGGCATCAGCATGAAGGCATGCGAGTCGCACAATTCCTTTATTGGAGCACACCTAAAAGAGAATGTGTAACACCCTTTTGGTGATTAATGATGTCTATCACTGTATACCATGTGTTATTAGGAATCACCATTCCTTACCACTGCAAAAGACCCCCAGATAGTGAAAGTATTTTAAATCCAGTTAAATAGTAGTGCGTACTCATCATAAATAGCCCTTCTTTTTCAGGACTATGTAAACTTGTTACTGCTTACAAACACCAAAAGTCCTCAAATAAGGAAATCATTTTTAATCCTCTTTCATGATAATGCATTCTCATCATAATGTCCTCTCTTAGGACTGCATTAAACTTATTACTGCATAAAGTATAAACTGTAGTTTCTATTGAAAAGAATATTGTAATTTGTGTGTGCATTCTTCAGACTAATCAGTCAGAACAATAAATATATTGAACAATAATTAAGACTACAATACATTTTTTTTTTCCCCCTGTAATGAAGCACAAAATAGTGAGATATTGCCTATAGAGGAATTTTTCAAAAGAAAGGAAAAAAAAATTATCTGTTTTAATAGTGTATATACTTCTAAAAAGTCCCAAATAGGGTATGGTTTTGAAATTTGGAATTATTCAAATTTGTGTCTGCTTAGAATGTAAAAGGTGAATATATGGTACTTTTTAGTTGCAAGAAATTGGGGTACTTGCATATTAGCACAACGGCTTTAAAATAGAACTTGCCGAATTTTCAGATTGCAGCAAACTGTAGCAAACATACACATAATTATTCTTCAGGCAACTGTACATATAACCATTGTCTAGTTTTTAAAAGCAACATTTCCATTTTCTTTTTGGTTTTTTTCCCATGTTCCAACAGTGTTATAAACAAACTGTGGTATTTTTTGTCTTAAACTCAGTTTTAGAATTTGTGCATTGCTTGCAGTGGAAGAAACTGCAGCAATATTTCTGCAGAAATAGTCTAATTTGGTGCAAAATCGCAGAAAAGAACTATTGCATGCCATGAAATTTCCAGTCAAACAAGAGTAAAACCTGATTGAACATGGTTTATTGAGTAATTTTAGGGACAAATACCCTAATTTAATTTTAAAATATGTAGGTAATAATATGTATTTATGTAATAAAGAATTTTTTTAATTATAAGTCCTTGTTCTTTTTCTTCAGCTAAAAATTGTTAAAGTTGTGCCGATGTTGTTGCATTAACTGAATTGCATACAAGCTGTTATATTATGTATATTTCTCATTCCAGAAACATCAGAGGCTTCAGCTGATGCAGGTAAAATTTTTCTTCTATTTATTCTGAATTTTTTTAAGGTAAAATTTTTCTTCTATTTATTCTGAATTTTTTTAAGGTAAAATTTCCCTGTTATGACTTACTGAAATTTTCATATGTTAGTCAGACTATTAATGTAACTAGCTAATCAAATGAAAAAATTGTACAGTTTGGCCATAAAGAAGTTATCCTTTTAATGGCAATATTGAAAAAGCATTGGGAAGGCGAAATCTGTTGCAGCTGTTTTAGGAATTGTCAGGGTGATATATGCTCTTGATGTATGTAAATTGGAGTGAAACATGCTGTAAATGTAATAAATCATTTCTGGAAGAAAAAAAAAGAAAAAAAAAAACCCTCAAAGCTTTAATCAACTAAAACTGCACTTAAAACAGAATGCTTAATGCTACATTGTGAGAACATCATTTAAACAAAGAATAATTGTTTCTATTCCATGTAACATAATTTAATGTTGCCAATAATAAAAAGTAACAATACCACACATGTCCCATGATTCATAGTTACATAATTGGATAAATATGTATTATTCTTAATCTAACCTATTTCTTTGGTGTGTTTCTTTGCAGCAAGCTAATAACTAATTGAATTTCAGATAACTGCACAAGAAGTAAATCTCAACTAAAAGAGTTATTTTATACCAAAAAATAATAAGCAATAATTTATTTCCTTATTCATAAAAAAAAAAAAAAGAAAAAAAGAAACGAAATGAGGTGTCCTTCAAACGAAAGCACAGATGTTTCGTAATGTGGCATTGCTCTTATCCATAACTGGCACTAAATTGTGTTACTTGATGACAGTTTCATGGTTGACGGGATAATGCATAAGTACTGCTTCATTTCATGCAACCTGTTTACTTTTTTTGGACAAATGAGAAGTCTCTAATGCAATTTCTTGCAAATCCTGATAAAGCTAGCTATTTTTTAGCTGTGACAAAATATGTAATTCTTTTCTTTATGTTTATGAAAAAAGTTACATGTGCTCAAATATTGCTGCATGCATTCTTTTACTAATTGAATTTTTTTTTATAAGATTCTGCATTGGACAAGCAACAAGCAGTGATTGCAGCATTTCTGCATGCATGGAAAGGATACAAAAATTGTGCTTGGGGTCATGATAATTTGAAGCCAATTACCAAAGGGTTTCATAATTGGTTTGGTTTAGGTCTTACAATTGTCGATTCTTTGGATACAATGTATATGATGGGGTTACAAAAGGGTAATCAAGCTTTCTTTTATACGTTATTGAATGTCTGTTTTACTTTTTGCATTGAATTTTGTCTTTTCATTAATACAGGTTTGTTTTTCTCATTTTAGAGTTTAATGAAGCAAAGGAGTGGGTAAAAGAAAAACTGAATTTTAATGTAAATAAAGATGTCAATTTCTTTGAAACTACCATACGAGTAATGGGTGGTCTTCTCAGTGCCTTTCATCTTTCAAAAGATTCCATTTTTTTAGATAAAGCAGTAAGAACTCTCTCTCTGTATATATTTGCTTCTTCATGTATGCCTCACATGTATGTATATGTGCTTCTTCTTTTATGTAAAGCTGTGCTTTTTCACTGAAATCAAATTAATGCAATTTTTATGTTTATATTATTTGTTATGGTTTTAAGTATAAAGTACTACAAACAGATTTGTATGTGGTAAAATATTCATTTGTAGACTGTAAGTATGTGCAAAATGTAACGGTTTTAAGTGGTGATAAAAAATATTGCAAAAGTAACAATTTTTATGATACATTGCATTGTGTAATGTGAAACGTCAATATGGTACACAAATGCAGGAAGTACAGAGGGCATAAAAATAAAACGTGGTTTTAATCACAGATATTTGCAGGAAGTTAGGTTTGATATTTACAAGAATTGTTCGAGTAAATAACCACCAACTGCAGCATATGCATCATAATGACAGGGTCATTGTAATACAGTTTTGAAAATGCTCATCGTCGTATACTTATGCAGTTGTGATGTTAATTTTTGTGACAAGGTCTTCAAAAGAGCAAACTTGTGTCACATGAACAAGGCTTTTCAAATATTTTTGGAGAAAACTAGGGGGCCCAAAAGATGGGTTCACTACACCCAGTCCCCTCTTTAGAAATTTAGTATTCAGGTAATTCTGCACTTCCATTGTGTTGTTTTAACAGGGGCTGCATCATATTAGAATCACATGTATACACAAACTTTTTGTTTCAATGATCTCCAGTAAATTTGGCAAGATCTGGTAAAGGAAAATACAGTTCTCTTCAGGCTTGTTTTCGGTCATTTGTATGTTTGAAATATATTTTCGTGGATCTTATATTAAATACTGAAACACAGACTCCAAATTTAATATAATATTTTTCTTTGTTTTAAGCCTTCCTTATTACAAAATAAATATCAGTACATTCCTTGTAATCAAATAACTTATCAGTAACACGTAATTCGGGCATTTGAAATTTCTATTTTTTGGCAAGCCATGTTACTTACCATAGTTTTTTGTTTGAAATGAAACTACATCATAAGAATTATTATCTATGTTTGCAAATTGTTACTTGTTCAAAAAAAAAATGTTAACAGCAGTGCTGGATTTACAGATAAGCTGCACAATTATTAGGCACGCCACTTTCTTGGGGGGCCACCCCCAACAATTGTACCATATCCCATATAAAAAAAATTGACTGATATCCATAATAAAAAGTTCTGTATCTCAAATAGCTTGCGATCTCATCAAATCTAAATCTGGTCCTGGTTAACAATTCCATATCTGACGTGAACATGTCAGGATGCCACAAATTAACAAAAAATTCCATTATAAATTTAAATATTTGTTATTTTAAAGATGGACAAAGTATTTAAAATATCCAGGAACTCCTTATGCGAAGTGTTCAGCTTTCTTTGATGTATTTAAACATTTAAAACATTGAACCATTCAAAATGCACAGAAGTCTCGACTACATTCCAGGTGAAGAAGGAGTCAAAGATTTAGCCAATGAAAAATCAAAGAAAATCCAAATATTAGTACCGTAAAACTTGCAATCGATTTAAAAGAGCAGTTGCAATAAAAGTTAACCACAAAACTGTCAGGAGAGTAAAGCACATGGCTGCAATGAAGATCGGCTAGAAGGACATTCTTTGTCAACAAGATAAATGCGGCTGGTGTTTGCAAAAAATGATAGCGAGAAGAAATTTATCATGTTCAAATAGTGTTGAATTTGGATATAAGTAAAAATTTAAACTCTTGCCTTATGAATTAAGATACAATTTTGTGGGGCACTTTTAAAGAAAGCTTTTTTCATTCATTGTGACCCGAAGCAATTTTAAAATTTTGCGCAGTGTTAGACATTAATAGTACTGCATTTACTGTATAGAAAAACCAGAGAATTTGATAATTATATTTTTTATTGTTCATTTCACTTTTGTATTCATTTTACTTTCATTCACATCATGTATTAATGTTTTTATTTCATGAATGTTTTTATGGATATATAACAAGAAAATTAAAAATTTTCATTTGTTTAAATATTTGCTTTGTAAAATTTATTCCAGGAATAAAAATAATTTCAAATGTATAAGTAAATAATGTATTACGCAAGTTTTATTTAAAATGTATTAGAAGGTGTATTGTTTTTGTTACTAACATTTCATATCTATGACAGAAAATTAAGAATACTCTAATGTATTGGTAGTTCTCAAAATAATCAGGAGCATGTAATGCAACTTTATACATTTTCCATTTCCATATTGTTTCACTGCACTTCTTATGCTTTGCGCAATCTTTACAAGTCCTTGCTGATTTTTATTTAGATAGGATTAGCTCAGTATGTTTTGGAAAATGTTCCAATTTCATCCTTGCAGTGTCTCTGGTGTATCTCCATTGGGTATCTATCCTAACTTGTTATAGTGTGATTAGGCAGTTTTCAGTAATATTTCTGCTATATTTTGTCTATATTCAGTTTCACAAATCTATTGCAACTACACCTAATGGTAAATGACCAGTTCGTACATTGCATCTGTAGCAAACAATAATATAAAAACAATCACGTGTCCGGTACAAAGTTCTCATTTTAGTCACAGAAAAGGGATCTCATGTTTTAAATTTGGTTCTCACTTTTGGACAGAATAAGACATGTGTGTCTGATACGTGGTTCTCACTTGGCCAGAACAAGACATAACAAATACAAACACACAAGACAAAGTAAAATGCACAAATACTATTGGTATATGTGCTAGCTGTGTATATGTGAAAAGTAAGAGTCATATCCAAATGAGATACGAGATGGAATTTAAGGCATAAATTACGTCTTCACTCTTTTCAATATTATTTATTGCTTGTTTCCTTGTCTTGGTAGTACATGTATGTGTTACTTAACTATTACCTATATCTTCATTTGACATTTTTCCCAATTAGTATGGGTGATACACTTTGTACAGTGTTATTACTACGAATGCTTCATTTAGCAGTCATGAAATCACTTTTAATCCAGAGTTCCCTTTCTTGACATTTGTTCCTGCAATATAATTTTTGTTGCCTTTTTCTAGTATAGCTGTTTTTGTATTGCATCATCATTTGTATTGTGTTATTAGTAATTTAATATTTTAAGTGTATTTATATTATATCACATATAGGTTGACTTAGCAAACAGATTGATGCCAGGATTTCGAAGTTCATCAGGAGTACCATATTCTGATGTCAATCTTCAGACTGGACATGCACATGCTCCTGCTTGGGGTCAAGATAGCTCTGTTTCCGAAATTTCTACAGTACAGCTGGAGTTTCGGGACATTAGTCGTCTCACTGGTGATCCAAAATATGAAGTATGAAAGTAGCATATTTCTTTGTATAAATATGTTGATCCAGTAGCAACTATTTGAAAATTTCATATTTTGCTGATTTTTGTTAGTTTGCATAGAACCTAGTAAATTATAGAGTTTTTAATAAAGACTATTAATATGCAAGTAGTTTGGCTAACTATATTCAATCCAATAAGAAAAGCAAATTATCTAGCAAAACTATAAATTGAATGATAGTAAAGAAAAGGAATCTAATCAAATCTACTAAAAGAAATGAATGATAAACCTAATTTTAAAATATATTAAGATTTAACTGATATAATTATTGTATACAATTTATTAAACTCTTTGTTCATTTTTTTTCTAGTCTGATCTAAATGTTTGGCAAGTTCATTGGCCTTTCTGTAAAGTATCTGCCTCGATATTGGCAAATTACAGGTTCTTTGAATAGGGAACCATTTTAGCAATGCTTCTTCAACATCCCTATACTCTAACTTTCTGAGCATTTTCTTCACATTCAAATTTTTTTCATGAGCAGAAATTATATAGTTACATTTTTCAGATATTTATTTTAAATATTATTTTTCAGACTTTTGGCAGATATTGATTTGGCTGCATCTATTTTGTACTTTTTGAATAATGTTCCCCTTAACTTCAGTGCAGAAGCTCTACGTTTACAACTTGCCATGAATTTTAGATGAATTTTTGACACAGAAACAGAATGCAGAGAGTTTAAAGACTATCTGAGAGTTTAACTCCTCTTCGAATTTTGTCATCTGTGGTGTCTTATCCAATGTCCGGCAACAACACAGTAATTTTCCGCAAGGTATATATGATTGCAGCACAAAAATTAAGTAACCTTCCTAAAGAATATCTTATATCTTTAAAAGAACTAAAGAATGCAAAACTCCTATTCAGAAGGTAGAACTCAGAAAACATTTGTCCTCAAATTGATAAAGATAATAAGAAAAAGCATCTGTGAAATCACAAGCTCATAAGTTTGCTCTTTTTCCCTGAATAGGGAAAATTTCAAAATTTCCATTTGAGCATCACAGCCTTGAGTAGAGTTCTGCCTGGCAGTTCAGTCAAAGAATTTGAATGGAATGAGAAACCCATTCACTTCTTTTGGTTCAATGGTCATACATCATGCGGTGTAATAAGATATGCTTATTGTATCCTCATTATTCTTAAGTTGGATGTTTTTGTTTAGAACACAAATAAAAATGAGGGTGAAGATAAAGGGAAAATAACTTAAAGGTATTTTTCTTTAGAGTCTGAATTTGGATCTTAGTAACCTAAACATAAAAGATTTAATGGTTAATGATTCTTTCATGGAAACCTGTGGAAATTTTAGAAAACATATAAAAAATACAAAAGAAAGTTTAATTTTAAATATCTGTAGTGTTAGTTATATCCAATTTCCATACTCTTGTGGTTACCTACAAGAGTATAAAATAAAGTTCAACAAAAGAAAACTGGGTGGGACCAAAAGGCTCGTTCATTATAACAGGGTTTCACTGTATATCCACTTGATAGCATTTAATTTGCAACATAACATAACAGTTCCTTATAACAAATGTTGAATGTGTGAATAAAGTTGTATGTGACTGTGAAGGAAACATGATACAGTCAAAAGTCTTTAATCCAGACGTCCATAATCCGGAATGATCTACGAGGGCTATCCAGAAAGTAGATTACGTTTTGGAATAAAAAAATAAACAAAGTATAGGAAACAAATTTTATTATATACAGATGAAAGCCACACTCAAATACTACTTTTCTACATAGTCACCATACAAATTAAGGCATTTATCGTAGCGATGTACGAGCTTGGAAATTCCTTCGTCGAAAAATTCGGCCGCCTGCGCCTTCAACCACTTCGTTACCTCTTCTTGCAGCTGTGCGTCGTCATCAAAACGCTGCATAGCCAGCCACTTCTTCATTGCTGGGAATAGGTGGAAGTCGTCGGTGCCAGGTCGGGACTGTACTGTACGGCGGATGAGGAGGAAACAACTCCCACTTAAAAGATTCAAGAACTTTACGAGTGACATTTGCCGTGTGGGGCCGGGCGTTGTCGTGAATCAACAAGATCTTAGAGCTCAACATTCCTCTGCGCTTGTTTTGAATTGCTCTTCTGAGTTTTTGGAGAGTTTGGCAATACCTTTGAGAGTTTATTGTAGTGCCTCTTTCCAGGAAGTCCACCAAAATTACACCTTTTCTGTCCCAAAAAACAGTCGCCATCATCTTCCTTGCCGACATTGTTTGCATGCATTTCTTGGGTTTTTGGGGAGAACTTGTGTGCCCCCCACTGCATTGATTGCAATTTCGTTTCACAGTTCACATGTTTCACCCATGTTTCGTCACCAGTAACGATGCGATCGAGTAAAGAGTCACCATCCTTATGGTAAGCATCCAAAAAGTTCAACGCTGCAGCCATTCGCTGATTTTTGTGGTCCTCTGTCAAGATTTTTGGAATCCATCTTGCACAAAACTTGTGGTAACCAAGCTTTTCGCTGATGATTTCGTGCAACAAACTTCGCGAAATTTGTGGAAAACTCAAAGAAAGTTCCGTTATTGTGAAATTTCGATTTTCACGGACTTTAGCATCGACTTTTTCGAGAAGTTCGGCGGTCACTATGGGGTCTCCCACTTCGATCTTCGTCATGAACATTGGTTCGGCCATTTTGAAATCTTATGACCCACTGACGCACTCCACCTTCAGTGATAATGTTGTCCCCATACACTTCACGAAGCTGCCGATAGATTTCTATCGGTTTACAGTTTTTTGCAGTCAGAAACCTTATTACTGAGCGCACCTCGCAGCTCGCGGGATTTTCAATTAACGCAGACATTTCAAACCATCACAGTATCTGAACGGAGCACAGCACGAACCTCTCACTAGCACGGCTAGATGCAGACTGAGCTGCGCAACGCTCTGACCCCAAGATGGCCGCGCTAGCCCCGCCCCTCGTCATTATAAATATCACGAATACACATCAAATAGTTTTGTGGTTGCAATTTTCTAATTTTGACTATGCGTAATGAATACTTTACGCATGCGCGTGTTGAAAAAAATGTTTAATAAAGTAAACAAATAAATATTAAGCTTTTTTTTTTTTTTGTAAATTTTGATAACCTTTAGATCATAATTGCTCTTTATTTCATAAATTACGGTTTCACATTTTTAATTTTATAATTTCTGCATGCCATCGTACCAGATTTAAACTCATGATCTATAATCTGGAAAAACCGATAATCCGGAATCGCCGAAGTCCCGACGAGTCCGGATTAAAGACTTTTGTATATGCTTAAATTGTACCATGAAAAGTCAATACTATGTCAGAAAGTTGGACTTTAGAAAAGCTGTGCAGTTTGTAGAACACAATAAAGTTCAAATAAGCGATTTTGCATTGAAATGGAAGCTATTGTTGATAACTATTAGTGCTAGGTGAGAAAATTTCTGAGCCTCTATTTGCTGCATTGATTTTAAGTAGATTCTATGAAAATTATAGCTATAGGAACTAGGCCACGAAGAGATTAAACTGTAGAATTAAATAATAAATTGAGGGTAGAATATAATCTTCAAAATAAAAGTAAAAATCTTGCACAGACAGGTGAGAATAAAGCTGTAAAATCACATTTTCTTCTACACATAAGGTCAAGTGATGGTCACATAAATATTTCTTCTCATTGTTACATTCTTTTTTATTCAGTTGTAAATTTAAGCTCTTGAACATTTTATTTTTTATCAGTTTTCATTATAATACTTTATTATTTTATACTGTTACTTTTTTCATGTGCCCCTGACTAAGTCATCACATGGGATTGTGTCTGCCCCAGGCTGGATACCATGGGACAAAGGTAGAGAATCTCAAAGGCTGCCTGCCTATGAGCAGGGATGCCTTTTCTGAGAAAACTTGGCTTGTATCTTATATTACGTAAGAGCAAAAACATAAAAACATCCATGCAGCCAGCCTGTTTGCCAGGATATGAACTGGGAATTGAACTTCCAGTGTTTAGTGATTTTAACACTTTTCCACTGATGAATCCATAGTGCTGCAGATGTAATTAATTATGCACATGTTAGGGAAGTTACTATAGGGTTAATCATGTGTAAAATATCCTTATGCTTCCAGTTAGACATTTATATGATTAATTGTTGCACCAAACTACCAAAGTATGTAATTTGCCTCTTTTTAAATTTTTGTTGTTTTGCTTTTTTTTTAATCTAGATAATTATGATGTTTCATTATATGATCCAATCCAGTAATATTGTTTCATGAATAAAGTTTTGGCTATTTATGAAGGCAAGTTGTTTTCTTAATTTAGTATTATGTTTTCTCATAAGTAAGTCAAAATTTTCAGCTATGTTATCAGGTTATTGTATGAACAGTACGTTAAAAATTCAATTTCTTAATTTAGATTTTGTAAGGTTGATTTTGCATGGCAGCCATAATTATTTCTAATATTCCAATAGCAAATGTTTTAAAAGGAAATTAGCATTTCCTGAAATCTTAAAAAATGGTAATTGCCTTTGGATAAGATGTCTGTCTTTTACTTAAATTTTTCAAGCTGCTTCAGTGGGAATTAAGATATTGCTTTGCTGCTAATGTGACATTATTCTATTTTCAGTTGAATTTCCAGTGTTGTCCTTCTGTGGAACACTTTTATTAATTGCGTTTGGGCCCAAAGACATATTGTTAGCTCATTTGTGTGAACATTGTATGCTCTAATTATAACCTAAGTTCTCATACCTATTCAGTGTTTTATGTGCTCAACTGTTTGTTCATTTTTCTGTTGTATGATGATTAGAGCATCAAAAGGCCCTGAGAGCCACATGGGAGCTTATTGTTACTGATTGAATAACCTGACTTGGAATATAATACAGAATTTTGACTGTAATAGATATATGGTATGGTAATTATCATTAGAGACTGTTGCCTGAAGACAACGTGTGACAGTATGGACAGCATTTCTGTAAAGTTCTCTGATATGTGCTGTTGCATAACCTTAAAATTGACAGTGATATTGAATGTTTTTTGTATATATGATAATTTCAGGTAATCAAAAATAATGAAAAGTTGCTAGTAATTAGATACGGAAATCTGAAACAGAATTTATTGCTCAATGCTATCTAAAAGTTCCAGTGTCAGAAATCAAACATGTAGTATATCTAAAAAAGAAAACAAATTTGAGCCTATCACAGGAGATAGATGCATGCATAGAAATTAATCATCGTCAATTGATTACTTTTGACTGTTACAGTATAGTTTTTACATAAACTCGAGCTTTCTATCACCATCTCTCTTCCAGAATTGCATGTACCCAAACTTGCAGTTCGAAAGCCACATTCATAAATTTTTTGAAAATTTTGACAGATTGAGTATTTTTTGCTTTCTGCAATCAAAAACAATAAGGTCATGAATATGTGAAATTTTGTAAAAATATTTGCTAAGCACCTAGTCTCAGCATCCACAGTCTCCTATGGTATGCTAATTCAATGTGAAACTTCATAGAACTTGTGTCTCCAAGTTTTCTTATCAACTGCAATGGCAAGTGGACCACATGTTGCAGATCTTCCCCATCTTGTAAGATTTCTCAAAGATACAGTGGAACCTCGAGATAAGAGAAATTCGAGGTACAAGGAAAGTATGAGCGAAACATTCGTCTCTAAGCATTGACTCAAGTAGCAAGCAATGAGGCAGGCTGTTGGTATGTGTGGTGCCATTTCCCTATCCAGCTCGACTTGGGGGAACCCCCTCGTCAGATCACTCAGTGTTCATTGATCTACAAGTTTGTGCACTTGTGAGTTAATTTTTTTTTATATTTAACGTGAAAATAATTATTTTGGGATGCCTTCCAAGATAGTGCCTCAGATGGTGCTGTAAAGAAAAAGAAGGAAGTCATGGCTGTTTAAATTAAGTAATAGATAGTAAATCATAGATAAACATAAGTGTGGTGTAAGAGTGATGGAATTGGCGAAGACTTACCACCGTTTGACATCGACAATCTGCACTGTTCTGAGGAAGAAATTGATGTGGCCAAAAGAGTTACCATTACTTCCAAGCATCATCCAAAACTCCTAGAAGATGTTGAGAAGCTGTTGTTGGTGTGGATAAACGAGAAGCAGTTAAAAGACGATTCGGTGTTAGAAGCTAACATTTACGCTAAGGCTAAGAATTTGTACTTGGACCTTCTCCGAAAAACACCAGATACATTGACTGAAGATCAGATGGCATTTAAGGCAAGCCATGAAATGGTTCAAAATAATTAAAAAGAGAATCATGTTCACAATGTTGTGCAACATGGAGAGGCTGTGAGCTCTAATACAGCTGCTGCTGATAAATTTCAGCCAGAGGAACTATATATTACTAGTGAGGGCTTTCTTCTCCAGCAAGTATTTAATTGTGATGAAACAGTTCTTTTTGGAAGAAAGTGCCTAAGAGGGCCTACATCATGCAAGAGGAGAATTCTTTGCTTGGCCACAAGCCAATGAAAGATAGGCGTACCCTCTTGTTTTGCACCAACACAAGTGGAGATTGTAAAATCAAGCCCTTGCTCATCCACCACTCAGAAAATCCATGAGTTTTCAAGAGGGGGAAGGTGAAGAAAAACAACTGAATGTGACGCGATGGGCTAATAGCAAAACCTGGGTAACATGACAGTTTTTCATCGAATGGGTCAAGAAAGGTTTTGGTCCCTCAGCGAAGAAATACCTTCACGAAAATAAGTTGCCAGTCAAGGCTTTGCTTGCCTTTGATAATGCTCCTGCACATCCTCCAGGGCTTGAAGATGATTTGCTGGAGGAAGAGGTCTCAGTGAGCATTAATTTTATTCATGCTGAATTAAAGCATGGAATAAACTCTAGCCTCAGAGTATTCCTGACTTAGTTATCGATCCTCAACCTGTGGACAACAGAGTGCAACTAGTCAAAGTAATTGTATCTCTGGGGAAATGTATGGGTCTGGAGTGGATGGTGCTGATCTGGATGAGTTAGTGGAAGAACATAGTGAAGAACTTACAATGGACAAACTTCAAAAACTTCAAAAGGAGCAGCACCAAGAGGGACTTTTGTTAGTTGAGAAGGAAACAGAAGATGAGGCCCTCTCTTCCAGTAAGATAAGAAATGTGACAAAGTGTGAGAAGTGTTGACAAAGTGGGAAGTTCTGTGAATAAATCACCCTAATAAAGCAGTGTGTGTGGGTGCACCATGAACTTATGTAATGACTCACATTTTAGAGGTATCTTAAAAAGGAAACAGATTCAAGTGTTATTAGATAAGTTTTGGGTAAAGCAACCTGCAACTAAAAGTTAAGGGATTCTGAGCCAGAATCTGCTTCCAGTGGGGTAAAATTTTCCTTCCTGAATCAGATGGGGACTCTCTATCCCCACAGTAACCATTTCGTCTTCTCCTCATCCCTATCGCCAGTGAGGACTCTTCATAAAGCTAAACTATGGTTATATTATTTACCAGTGTTATTTACTGGGAAAATTGATTTTTAAGTTGATATTTTTGGGAGTGTGGAATGGATTAACTGGATTTCTATTATTTTCAATGAGGAAGTTTGTTTCTAGATAAAAGATATTCGCTAATTCAGAAGTCAAACAACAAAAATCAGCGTTATATTTACAAATTTTCACAGGACGAGTTTCGATGGTTTTACCGAACCACCATCTTCAGCTGCAAAACCGCAAATGAACAAGATAAGAAATAATGATTGGATAAGATAAGAAAGCCTGGACAAGAATAAGCAAGTGGCGCCATCTGTTGGTAAAACCAGAACTAAAACATAATTTCTTTAAAGGCCGAAGGCAAATTTGGATTGGAATTAGGATCGTTAACTAGAACAGAAAGATTTTTATGAATGTGAAATGCCTCTAGAAAATCCAGTTCTCCAATGGAAGATGTTTTTTGAATAATTTTGGCAGCAGAAAAACTGAAAGTGTGGTTTTCGGACCAACAATGTTGAGCAACAGAAGACTTCTGTGTTTCCTTTTTTCTAACATATGCCTCATGTTCCTTGACGCGAAATTTTCGCTATACGAGGTCAATGCTGGAATGAATTAAACTCAGATTTGGAGGTTCCACTGTACAGTTATTTCAAATTTCTCAACCATCTTCAGTGTTGCAGTAGTTTTGTATCATAACTCTTATTCTGTAGCTGAAGCAAGAATCACAAAACATTGACTACAGTTTGCTTATTAAGTTTTACCAAGAGTGCTTTATTAGATAGATTTATTATAGCATGGTGGTTAAAATATTAACTTTTGATGACCTAAAAATTCTTTTTGTAGGTGAAAAATATGACATTACCCCTGGTGTATCGTTACCTATAATGGTCACAGTAGTAATGAAAGGTGTGCATATTAAAATTCTTAAAAAGGCTTATTGATATTGTGCATTTTTGTGCAGAGTGCATTAAGATATGATAAAAATTCTCTGAATTTTTTAAAAGTTTAATTACTTTTTGTGTCCCCCCTTATATTTTGTTGTTAGTTTTTAAAGAGTATTTGATTAGTGTATATAATAAAGGGTTAATTATTTCTTAACTTTCATTTAGATGGAAGCCTTCAAAGTATCTCAGCATCTTCATGCATTATCAAAAAAGGATGGACTAATTCCAATGTTCATTAATGCTGAAAGTGGTCAGTTTCGTTCTACTTCAACAATAACCGTAGGTGCAAGATCAGATAGTTATTATGAATATTTATTAAAGCAATGGATACAAACTGGAAGGACAATTGATTGGTATGTTTGCATAATTTTTTTAAAAAAAGTTGTTTTGTCATGCAGGTATGTTGTATTATATTTATTTGCAATTATTTATGTCTTTAGTAATGCTTTCTGAAATATTCAAAATTATCACTTTGTTTTCCATGACAACTTATCAATTTAGATCATGTTGCGCTTGAATTAAAATGAATGTTGCTGTCGTTTGTAATAAAAATTAATTAAAGGCAGAAGTAATGTAATTTTCTTATAATTTGATTCATCATTAAATGTTGTAAAATTCAATTTGTACCTTTCAGTATTCAAAATTTGTTCAAAGTATGTAATAAAGTGTGACTACATTTTCTATTATTGCTTCAGCTTTTGTGCTAACAGGAGGAATCTTTTTTATGAGTACTGTATGAATAATTATAACTGTGCATCTCATTGACTGAAATATTTGACTGTACATAAAAATATAGTATAAAAAGACTAACCTTGTAACTGTAAATTATTTTCTTTTAGATTCAAATAAAATTTTGTGAAAATATGCGTTTAATTTTGTTGAAGAAGATGCAGTTAAGATGCTCATTTGTGTATATCTCATGAAGTACATATCTTGATGTTAATTTTGCCTCAAGGCTCAAGGAAGATGTAGCTGTTTTGAACATAAAAACTTTCAGTGTTAACTGCATTTTTGTGTTCATATATGTCTTGATCTCTTATTTTTCCTTTTTATTTATAAGTACTTTTTTATGCTTGGATTAATTTCAAATGATAATTTTTTACTGTTAAAAGAGTATTATTACTAATTCTTAGTATTCTAACAGACTTACCTATTAAAGTATGTGAGAGTAATGATCTTCTATCTAAACCTCTGAACTACCAGCGATTTTTTTTTTTTTTGGCAAGATTTAAGATTGGAGACTACAAAAAGCATATGTGTGAAGAAGTGATTTTTCTCCTGACTAACCAAGATTCCTGTATGTCAGTTTCAAGCACCTGCTGGCTAGAGAATCACACCAGGGCCAGCGACAGTACTTTGATTGACATTAGTCACAATCACATTTGCAACCTTTTTAGTGGTTTGCTGATGTGTTGTGAAAGGGGCTAATATTTTTTCATGTGTCCTAAACAATAAGTGAAGCCTCAAGAAATATTTGTTTTGGAGCAGGAGGTTGCTAATTAGGGTTTTCTTTTGCTGGCATACCACAGGGTTCGTATGGTCCTTAAGAGTCCTTAATTTTTTTTAAATCGATTTTTGGTCCTTAAAAGTCCTTAATTTTGGCCAAAATCGTCAGAAGGTCCTTAATTTTAATCATCTGAAATTTCGGTCTTGTTTTTACAACTGCTATTTTGAATGTGAATTACCATTTTGGAGGAATATTTTTGGCGATTCACTGACAAATATGATTATCTTTTGAATGAGTTTATGGGTTATAATTTCTTCCTATTTCTAATAGAAAGGGTTGGGTACTTGGAGTTTCTGAGCAAGAAGTGAAACATAAGGATTTCAAAATTTTTTCACTTTTTTCTAATGAAAAGCTCTTAAACAACTTTCCACTTTTGTGGATGTGAATTCTTTTATAAAACGGCTCGAAATTTGGTGACTTATCAGCATTTCGGCGATTTTAATATCACTTTCTATAGAAAATTTTTAATTCGGAGATCTGGGAATTGTTCTTCGATTTTTTTAAAAAACATTATATCTTTGATAAATTTAACTAAATTAATGGTAGTATATTGAAATTATATTTAGGAAATAATGTTAAAATACAACATTTATTATTTTTTTTTTTCCCTCTCGTATTATGAAGAGACATTACTTTCCGTTTTGGCTATTTATTATACAGTATTTGTAATATGAAAAATAAACAAAATAATAAATGTTATAAAGCACAGTTTACAAAACAATTCATAGCAAAAGCAAAATAGCTATGTAAATAATTAAAAATTTCTTCCTTTCAATTTTTTCATGGTAAAAAGTTTTCCCACGTAATTGTTTCAGAATTATTAGAATATGCATCAGTTTTCTCTATAAAATTAATTTCACACTTTTTTCCACTTATTTATTTATTTATTTATTTTTTTTTTTTCAAACTACTTCTGGCCTTTTTTTCTATTACAGAATTGGTAGGGCTAAATTTTACTTTAGGATTTTAGACATTGCAACTTGGAAAGTTTAGGATTTGAAGGCAAGATTTACAGACCCACAATTCTAGAAGGCTCCATTAAAATGTGACAAAATAAAAAATATCTTCATTGTATTAACACATAATGGTTGTATTTTACAGAAATTTTATGATGAATTTCATACATTGTGAAGAATTTTTGGAAGGACACTGAAAATATAATGTTTGAATGTTGTACTTCTGATGCTAGAAATCTTTTTCTTTTTATCTTCTCTTTATTTTCTAAACTTTTCACTAGACACAGGCATCGAAAATACCAAAAATGTTTCTAATCTTTTCGCCTGGACAGTCATTTATAAAAAAATAATTTTTTTATTAATAAAGAAATTGAAAACTGACAAAGATTCACATTATACATCTCAATCAATCATACACAGGGCTGCCGCTGGGCTTTTTCCCACCTGATGAAATCTCTGCGGTTCTTAAATTCTGCTGCCTAGTGCCTTCTTAAATTCTGCTGCTTAATGCTCTCCTAAATTCTGCTTCCAGTCCCTGTCCTAAATTCTAAAATGTTTTGCCATTTCTAGATTTTCCGTTATATTCTAAATGAATTTGTTTTTTAGAATAACAGAAATCTTTAATTCCAAAAATTCTGAAGTGCAGAGGAAACATATTGAAAGAAACTGAATACATATGCAAATTAATCAGTTGTTTAGAATTTTAGCGTTTACTATAGCTTTCCCTTTCCGTTTCCTCACCATAATGCAAATGAGATAGTTTTTTAACTGAGATTTTTGGATTGTAAGACCGAAAGATTTTGCTCTCCACTTGGATGTTGCCTTAGTTCTTGCTGCATCTGATAATTTGTAATTATTCATCTTTGCATTATCATTGCTAATATTTGAATTTGTTACTACAGTAAAGTTACTGAGCCACCTTAGATTAAATTTAAATTGCGTAGTCTTTGAATACGAGTCCACATTTTTTGTTTGAATTTGGTTGTTCCTGTTTACTTGCATCACCAAAAGCTGTAGTTTATTTTGTCAACATAACAAGAACGTGCCTTTATGTTCCATAGTCTTTTTAAATAAGAGGTATATTTCAATCTTTATGTGACGCTGTAGTTACCTTTAGACATAACGATAATTTGCTTCATATCTATCAGAGGTTTTGGATTATTTAACTTTTACCAGATCACGTAAAACCTCGTTAGGTACACTGTTGAGAGACTACAAATAAGGAGATAAAGCACGCAGAAACTAGTGGGAACACTAGTTTGTGTACTGAAACAGATTTCTAATTGTTTGAAAAGATGTTTAAAGAGAAGAAAATTGATATAAATTAGCCAAAATGTCTAGGAACACTTCGAATTAAAACGACACAGAACTATTTTGTTTTGTAACTTTTAATGTGTAATTATCCTAATACTGTTTAAGAATTAGTGTCATAAATTGCGTGTATTTTAAACTGTAAAATGTTATTAGATTGTGATTTTAATAATGGCCATGTAAAAGTATAACAACTGAGGGTATTTAACTACCTAATTTAATTATTTATAACTAACTGCTCATCTTTAAAAGTTATCTATGTGTATTAAAGCAAGTTATTGCTTTTCATTAATCATTACTGTGGCCACAAGGTAACGCACGAAAATGTAAAAACTATTATAAACTTATTCTTTGCATCTAGGGAGACTTAAAATAATACAAAACAACTTATCACCTCTGCTATATTAGTGGCTTATTGGAACCTTAAAATGGATTAACCAGGTTACAATCCCAGAAACTGTATATGAAGGTATAACACTTATAGAGACATTAGAATTTTTTTTTTTTTTTTTTTTTTAAATGGGAACAAATGAAAAATGAACAAGCGCCTTCACCGAGAATCGAACCGCGGATTTCTGAAATACATGCCCAGAGTGCAGACCACCACACCAAGAAGGCGGGAGAAATTCCTTATATACACCCCATTTTAAAAGGCGACTGGGGTTTTAGGGAACCCAATCGCCAAATCCTGGGTGAGGAGAATCATTATCCACCATCCTTTTAGTTCGGGCGTCTCTGTAGAGACATTAGGTATTTTTTGGAAGCAGGAAAGATGAAAAATATGCAGAGCCTTCGCCGGGAATTAAACCACGGAACTGTCGAATATGAGACGAGTGTGCAGAACACCACATCACGAAGACATCCCAAGAAATGCCTTACCTACAACAGACTTTCAGGTTTTTTTTCTGATCAACAGGTCTCTCTCTCGGCTAGCAACAGCTAATCTTTTGTTACAAATCATACTGATTATGATTTTAATTCTCATTTTAACATATGCCATTTGACATAAAATTTACCTGCTATTTACTAAACCTCTAGACTGAATAAGTACATGGCAAAATGAGACATAAAAGAAAAAATCAGCATAAATCTGTTAATAAAATGTCCCCAATCTTCTTTCAAATATGTCCAACTTTTATACGTGTAAAATATTTAATACTATTTGATAAATGTTTTAAAGTTATGTTTAATAAAAATGCATCCTACTTACGGATCTATTTTATTCTTAGAATGTTATTACAAAAGTGAAATTCAGATATAACCTGATTGAATTGAATTTTTTTAGCTTCTTTTGGCTGATAGGTCCTTAATTTTTTTCATTAATGGTCCTTAAAAGTCCTTAAAAGTACTTAATTTCCATGTGCAGAAATGTGTACGAACCCTGTACCAGCAAGAAGACAGAAAAAATTAGATTTAAAAGAAATTATGTTCAATAAATGTAGCAAATAGGGTTCTTCTTGAACAAATTAGATCAGTGTTTTTTTTTTTTTTTAACAGGTTATTATAACAGCTCACATATGTTTAACAAACAAATAAATATTGATATTTTTTGTAAATTTTGATTCCTTTAAAGTTATAAATGCTTCAGTATTTCATAAACAACTATTTTATGTTTTTTTATTTTATAATTTTTGTCATCTTACTGGATTTAAACTGATGATCTAAAGTCTGGAAATTTTTTAATTCCAGTATCGCTGAAAACCAGGATCATAGACAGTGTACTGTATGGTACCCTTCTATTATTGACTTACGAATTATTTGACATTTGAGATAATTGAATTTTTTTTAAATATTTTATTTTGTATTATGCTCAAATCACCAACTCAACATAGCAAAATGCATGTTAATATCATAAATATAAAGACTTCTATACAAAATTTCTTTCTCCAGAAATTTGAGGTACCTTAAATTTTCATGTAAATAGTGTATGCTGAAACAGTACAAATCTTGTAACATGTTATAAAAGTTAGCAAGTAGACTTTCGAGTTTTTTTTTTTTTTTTTTTTTTTTTCCAAGTGGCTTTCACTAGGCAGGTACAGCCTTGAATAGGTAACTTTATCATATAAGAGCCCGTGAAACAAATTTTCTGTTTTGAAAATGGTTACATTAGAACTTTAGTCTTTAACTCTGAAAACTGAAACCAAAAGTTAAAAAAATTTCAAAATAATTGGATCTTGTGTAGTGTTGTAAAATTATATGCCATTTCACCATTTAAGCATTGCTACATATGTGTAAAATACAGAAGATATATATAATATAAATGCGTAAAATAAGACTTGAAAAGTCAAAATTGTCAAGTAAATAATTTGGAATTATAATTTAATCCATTAGAAAAATCATACTTGCATTTGTTTAAATCTTTGTGAGTATGCATTTTTTCTTTTAGGTGCAATTGTCCAAGAAAAAGGAGGGGGACTTTGCAAAGAGTTTGAAAATAAATGAGTTTACAGAGTTAAAAGTTGTTTATGCTTCAAACATTTGTTAAATACATTTTAAATACAAAAATAATTGAGAAACCTGGATAACAAAAACAAAAACAAAAAAGAGAGCAATGTATGAACTTTACAAGAAAATTTTCAGAGAAAATTTAAAGAAAAATTTTTTCTTTCTTGATAATTTCACACTTTATTCTTATTCTGAAAATATTTTTGCAATCTTTTTTTTTCCCTCCTCCCATTGTAATATCTGTTTGTACAGTCCAAAGACAAACCAAGACATTATAATAAGTCTTAAATGTTTCTGCTGTTACAAGCTGTTTTGCAAATTTGCTTATAACACATGGATGCTAATGAAATTACAAGTACTAAAATTGCATTTCTACGTGATATACAAATGGGAGATTCTTCTTGGTACTCTGTTACAGAAACCACCATTAGAATTTACTTTCTCCATGCAGGAGTTCTTGGCATACAGGAAGTGACTGACAATGAGTTTAGAGAGAAAGATTGAGAGTTCGAAGAAATCTAACTGTTGAAAAAGATACTGCAGGAATAGCAGTGGAAGAAATTTTAAGTTATATAGTTTTCCAAGTAAGCAGAGTTCCATCATTGAGAAAGTATGGAGAATATACCTCTTTATAAACAGAGTTAAGATCTACGAAGAAGACTTAAGCTATAGATATAATTTGCTTTTTTTGCTATACATGTAATTGATTTTTTTAAGATAGCATAAAAGCAGCTTTTTGATACTTCAGTATTGAAACTAGTTTATATTCTGTGAAAACAAACTATGAGAACTTTTTTAAACATGTTTCAAAGCAGTCTTTATTATAAAGAAGCAGACATATTTATGTATGACAGTATTTTTAGGCTCAATATTCATTATAAAAAAACTGTGTTCAAGTAACAAATTAATTATTAAATATAACCTTTTCTCTTTAAATGTTTGTATTAAAGTGTTTAATACTTTATCTTGATATTTCAACACCTACATAAGTAGACATAAATTGTTTGCCTCATGATATGTTGGCTAATTCATGTTTTACTGCATTATCATTCTATCCACTTAAATTCTGTCCAGACATCTCTTAAATACAATAGATAACAAATTTTGATCAAAGTCATATATGTATTAAAGCGATAATAACAAAGGAATTTTTTGCTGGATGAATTTGAATTTTATAGATAAATTTTATTTCGTATTAATGTATTTTAGCAAAATTTCGTTTCATCTTTTATTTGTAATATTCATGTAATAAACAATCTGCATTCTTATCTCCTAATTTTGTAGGCTAAAGGAAGATTACATTGAAGCTGTTAATGGAATTATGAAGCATCTCGTTAAACAGTCATATCCAAGCAAATTTACATTTATTGGAGAGCTTTTAAGTGGCCGCAGTTATAGTCCGAAAATGGTGTGTATATCTGTTATTGTGCTATAGATTATGTGAACTGAGCACATTTGTAGATTATATTTTTCTATCTGAAAGATTTAAAACATATATTGAACAGCTTTGCTCTAAAAATTTTATTCAGACTCTCAGATATAAATGAGAATAATGCATGAATCGGAGATTAGTTACTGAGCCTGCTGAATGTCGTATGAAGGAGGGTGTTCTCGTATTAATCTTTCTCTTAAGAAAATTTATTGTTCATTATTTTGATTAGGAACTTGATAATATTAAACTTATACATCTCTCAGAATGTGTAGATACACACAGACAAATTTTGTAGTTCTTAATATAAGCAGAAAATTATTAGTTATTGTATCCATGATAAGATTAACATCATGACTGCACCAGATTATTTCTGTGATGTAAAATTATACAACACATTTTTATCCCATTTATTTTTCCTTTTTATAATGTTAGTGAAATACATTAAAATACTGTGCAGCCCAGTTCTAAAGATTAACATTTCTCAACCTTTTTCCATTTGTGTACTCCTCAGTAAAACTGTAATGCTAGAGTACCCTAACATCTATCTTCTGGAAGTATGATTCCCCTGAACTCCATCCAGTATTACTTCAACATACCATGCCATTGTATTATTTTAACACCTTATAATTAATAAACACATTGACTATTGTCAGAAAATGTAATCAAACATAAACTGATTATTACATTATTTCAAAAAAGCACCCCAGAAACATATTTTTAATCACAATATAAAAAGAGTGAGAAAATAGTAAATTGATTAATTTGATGAGTATTGAAGAGATCCTGAAGAGGTATATGACAAACCTATACATTCATGAAATATCAAACTGGAAAAGAAACATACCAATATAATATTTAAAATTAAGACAAAACAGCAACTGTGTTTTATTCCCAATTAAAGAATTAGGTATGGGTAATCCTATCAGTACTGATTGATATTTACATACACATTTTTGATATCAAAATATTTGAAAAACGATCTTTTTAGCTTTGCATTTGCTATTTAAATTTGCACTATTTGGTGGTAGTAACTGTTAACTTATATTTTACTAGTTATGAATTCGATTGTTCCAGCCATCCTGTTCATTTTTAAAACTGAACCTGACAATTCCTTTCTTGTGCTTGGATTAGTAATTATCTACTTCTTTTATTAATTACCTACAATGAATTTGATTTCAGGATACTTGATTACATAAACATTTTTTTATGTTTGCTTGCCTCTTGATGCTAAATCATGTCAAACTTTAAATTCTTTCAAAATTTATAGTGTGTCTTGTGATTTGAGATACATTGCCAAGCTAAAAGAACTTTAAAATTTCACATTAAGAACATGAACCTTATGTTTGAAAAGAAGAAAGTGTCAAATCTTTGCTGAATCACAACTGGAAACCTATCACAATTTTGACTTTGGTTCTACAAAAATTGTCCACAAAGCTTCAGTCCGAATAACTGCTTGCATAAACACCAGAGGTGGACGAACGCATTACTGACCTTTTTCACTTTGTGAAGCCTTATCCCTTCAATAAATCATCCAATTTTTCTCAAACTGTAATCATTTGTTTTTCTGTACATGACATCCCTTCTACCGATTTTCATCCCATTCGGATAACTCTTACTTAGTGCGTCTTTTTTTTTTTTTTTTGTCTAAGAGTGTATTTTTATTAGTTGTTGAGTTCCCTATGGCATAGCATGACATAGTACAGTGGGAACAGAACGCACGCACAATTTTGATTACAATGCTCGCAGTTTCTGATAATAAACAAAAGCAGCTAAGCAAGAGATGTTCTTCAGCTAAGCACGCTTAGGCAGCCAAAAAAAAGTGCGTATATCGTGGCGGGAATATTTATGATTTCAGAGTGCTTTGTTTTAATTCTGCAGTGATTGGGCAAGAGATTTTGCATTGCAGTTTCTGCAGGGAAAGTAACGCAAAGCGAAGGGGGATGTGTGTAAACTGAAATTAGTAATTTAAAGATCTATTGTCAGCTTTTTCCAATTAAGTTTTAATTTGTTAATTAATTTGCATCATATTTTTATATCTTACATTTATGTACAAGTTATATTTATGTACTTGTATATTGTGTGTGTTAAATTAATTTTAAAATTGAAATTATAATGTTCAAAGTTTACAAATATATTGTTATTTAATATAATTTAATTACAATATAATTGGCTGCTAAAGCATAAACATAAAAAATATTTAAATCAACATATTAACTTGAATTTTCAGTAGCCTCTTAACACATAATTTTAATTGGATATTTCCCTTTTCTTTTTTTTAAAAAAGTAGTCATTGCTTATAATAAACGTCTCTAAACTGTGCCTTATCAAAATTAATAGTTGCCATCTTATGACTTACATAACACTGGTGATGTAAATTTTTTTTTGAGTTGAAACAGCCAGCCAAAAATAATTTTGGAGCTTTATTAATTAACCATCAAATGATATCAAAATTGAAGCTTGTTAATTTTGAATACAGATTGAATTCTGAGCATGTTTCACTTGGGTCAAGAGCTAGCATTTACTGTCTTCAAAATTATATTTTTAAAATGTAATGGTACTGATATAATTCTCCAAAAAACAGGCCCTTTGCCACCCAGTTATCTATGTTGTCTTCTTGAAATGTTTAACTAAATAAAAAGGCATAATATTTACTGCCAAGTTTGTTCTTTACTATGCATCTTCAACGTGTGCAAGTTATTATCTGTCTTCAACAAATCTCTTTTCTTACAACTGTAATGAGAAGCTGGAATCAACTGTGATGTGTTCAGGGTGAAATATTAATTCGAAGTGAGTTAGTTTTGATTTCAATATCATTTGAGTCACTGATTAATAAAGCTCTAAAATTAGACTGAGTTTCAGTTTACGTCACTGGCATTATGTAAAAGGTCATATGATGGTGACCATTAACTTAGTAATAGTGCAGTCTAGAGAGATTTATTATAAACCGTTACTATTTATGAATATAAAGAGGAAATACCCAGTTGAAATAAAGAAATAAGAGGCTATTGAAATTTATAGGAGGTATTGTATGTTATATATTCAACTATATTCCATGTTATTACATGTGCAGAATTTCCAAATTATTTCACATACACAGCTATATATATATATATATATATATATAATTCATAATAAAAAACTTTCCGTACAAAAAACAGAAATTCGATTCAAAACCATGAATGAAAAAATTTTTAATCAGAATTTGAAGTAGTATTTTAAAAAGTAATTTCAATCTTTTTGTTTAAAAAATCTGCTTAGAAAAATCTTAAATTGCAAAAATACCAAAACCAAAAGTAAATTTTAAGTATTGAAAAGGTAGCTATTGTCATTGATTGCAGATTAATCGACTTATCAAGGGGATAAACCACTCTACCATCAATTAACATCTAAATTAATAGAGATTGTTTCATCTTACTTCCAAGTAAGCATCAAATTATTTGCTAGATCCAAACCATATCTCACAATTAATACTCAATCCAAATTAAGACATTAGTCCATTTAAGCTAAAAGAATCTTGTTAAACAAAATAGCAAATAATCTTAATTTCTCATTAACCCCTTAACTGCCACGGGTGTATATATACGCCTTCCAAAATACTATCATTTGCCTTACGCTGCTACCCGTAAAATTATTCACAAAGCTTTGGAATGCAACACCACAATGACCTTGACAAAGTATGCGAAGTAGGATACTATTTCAGAGAAGTGTGGGAAGAAATTGGAGAGAGGGATGTGTCTAAAGCGGTGAAAGTAATGGCTGTGCGGTATTAGCTGGTGGTGTTTGAGTACAACATATTATTTTTTATTCTGTGTCCTCTGTTTTCGTTTACTTTTTGTAGTACGTTCCAGCTATAAAGAAAGATATAATGGATGTTTCAAACCCATTTATCTTTTTTTAATTATTTTTTGATGAACTGCTCATGCTTCGTTACTGAAACTAACTGTTTTGTAGACGAGTAATGAACAAACACATTGCAAACAAAAAATCAAGAACAATATTGTGGCATTCAACCTGTTCAGAAGAAATGTATGCTTTTTAGGCGTGCTGATTTCACAAGGTATAACACTGAAACCTGGTCTTTAACTTTACTAGTCTAAAAATAAATTGATTGAAATTCCATTTTAGGGATCTTTTCTATTATAAAAACATCATTTTTATTATACTTACATCCTTTTATTATACTTTTACTCTAAACATTAAATTTTGTGCATTCATTTTTTTTTCTTTTATTCTTTATTTTGTGAAAGTAAACGGTTTTTAGAAAGTAAAACTTGCACTTATTTTCCCCCTAATACAGTACATAACTATGAGCACCTGTGTGAAAACCAAGGCACTGGGAAATGAATTTTGTACGTTTTCCGCAACAGTTAAGGAGTTAAGAACACAATCTGAACGAGATGCTTACTTTAGAAGAAATATCCTCTACACTCTCATTTTCAAACTCAGAAACAGAAGTAAACATATTAGAACATTAGAAGTTAATTCAAAATCATAAGAAGATAAAAAATGATACAAACTAAAAAAAGTTAAAATAAAGTAGTTATAAATTTAACCATCAAACTAATAAGTTAAAATTGACAAACTTGCTTTCAAAATTTTAATACCAAATGTCTGAAAATTTAAGTATTAAGTGATGGAAGTAAAAGGGTTCTCATAAAGTGCGAGTTTCTATTTAAGAAAGTTTAGCCTAAATTGGTGAGATGCAGCAGTTAAAGTACTTTCTGCGAGAATTCAAGTCTCTGATCATTATTTCAACACCATCATTTTACTGTTTATATCAATTACAGGCATTAATTGCATGGAGTATTGTTAATAATCCTTTTCTCTAACTGCACAGACTAAATATAAAATCCGAATGGTCTGAAACCCATAAAGTTCTTCATTAGACCAAGATTTGAATGAAAGTCAAAATAAAATAATAATTCTCGTAGTTCAAAATTTAATGAATATTTTTTCTTCAACTGGTATGTGTCCCA